TCATCGAGCAGATCGGTGGCACTCACATCTTTGGTAGAAGATCCAGCTCAAGCCTTGGCCGATCTTGGCCCCGAGGCCGCAAAGCTTGAAGAACGGTGGCCGCGTAGATCAAGAAACAACTCATTTTTCGCGATAGAAATTGGTAAATCTCTGGAATAGAAATTATACTATCACAATTCTATTTTTGTGGGGGGCTACTAAAAAGTAAACCTTGAAAATCAATGAAAACCATGGATGGCTTTATCCTCAAAATGCTGATTTACCTGAGGATAGGTCGGATAGGATAATCCATGGCAGCCATGGCAATATATCTGGATACAATGAAAACAATGAGATATAATGGGATATGATGAGAGTTAATCAGATGCAATGAGATATCATGGGGATACAATGAGATTGTTCATGGGATATGATGAGATGTTTCATCAGATGCAATGGGATATAATGATTATAATGGGGATACAATGAGGTATGAGGATACAATGAGGATATAATTTAATTAATTGGGATATTTTTGGGGATCTGGATGTTCTCCTCTGTCAATCCGCTAGCTGCTTCTGGCGATCCAACTATTCAAAACCCTGAGACACTATGCAGCCTATCCCTAAGTCATGGCTGCTTAATGGATGTTGATATGTTGATTCCCCAAAATTGTTGGTAAGATTAAAAAAAGGTTTTGACTTCTTCAAGTGAACATTTTTATGACCAGTTAGTTGGAATCGAGGAACATTGATGAACTAGTTAAGGTCATCGCAAGCAAATGATGGCTTCCACAGTGGGCCCCCCCTTGAGAAACCCGCTCACCTTAGATTAAAGGGCCCACCTTGGATAAAGGACCATAAGGAGGTTTAGTTGACTGTTCCAAAGATAGGCCAGATAGATATATATATATATATATGTAATATTATGATATAATATATATATACAGTAACCAGCTGGGGCAAAAAACAACTGATATTCCCTTCTGAATATTCTCTATACCTGATTAGAAGTTGTGCTGGCCACTTCTTGGCTAGTTCATGCTAGTTCACGAACTCCGGCGCCGAGGAACTCGAGGTAGGTCCATGCTTGGATAATCCACACCTCGGTCAGATCGTTCTTCGCCATGCTCTTTTTGGCGGATGGATGGGGTGGAAAAAAATTAAGGATCAACAGATCGAATAGAAATCCTAAAAATGGTTCCATGCCCTAATGGTTTCCCGAGTATGAAACATCATCTATTATGAGATCAGCTATCAAGGGGACAGCAAAACTATGACAAAGTAGCCAGGGCCGGGCCTACAAAATCTCCCACAACCAGTGTCACCAAAAAAGGCGTGAAGAAACTTGTGCAAAAAAGACGTGTCCGTTATGTCAGTCTGAGTAATTGCTGTTGGACCCATCAGCTGGTGCCAATGGCAGAACATGAATCTATGGTCCCATGGGCCTGAAAATTATCAGTTCTCTACACGTGTTGGTATCGGTGACATTCCTATGAAAGTCCCATTTAACCCCACTGAAAACCTCTATCTTATCCTCTGGTAAACTAACATAACTATGGAAAATCACTATTTTTGATGGCTAAATCAACTATTTCTATGGCCATTTCCAATAGCTTTTTGTAAGTTTACCAGAGGGTAACCGCCATTTTCCTATGGTTTTCCTATGGTTTTCCTATGGTTTTCCATACTTTTTGTTAGTTTCCCGGTGCATAAATCCCGCTTTTGATGCTGAAACAACCTAGTGATGCTGAAGGATCCCAACCCCCAGGTGCCTTCCTCTTTTTGCTCCATGGCTCCCCGGAAAATGGATACCCGGGTAATACCCCGAAGCGCTCCGAACCGCTCCCTCCACCACTGGGTATATAAAACCGTAGGTGAACGAAACCCTTGTATGTATATATATATAATCTGGTGTGTATATATATATTATTATTATTATATATATATAACTATGGGATAATTAGTTAAATTACTGGTATATGATTTCTTTATAATTCAAAATATATACTTCGTATACTAGTACACTATATCAATTGTAGTTCAAAATTTCCATCCATAAATATTACAGTATATAATATATATATATATATACATACGTATTGGGTCAAAACCATGGTACCTAGGTACCCTAAGTCATAGCTGGTTGACATCCACTGAGGTCCCTGACACCACATCCGAGCCCAGCAGCTCGTGGGGTTGTTGTTTCTGGCACGCGTTTTTAACAGCACAGCTGACTTTTTTCCCAGTGAAAAAGGCTGGTAAAATGGTGATTGATCTATCAAAACTGGCTGGGAAATGGTGGAAAACATTGTTTTTTTCTAATGGGATCGAATCAAGCAGATTCGTATGATAGCTACAATATGGGCATTGATATGTGATTTATCATAGCTGAGTTGATTTTTTCAGTAATATTAATATATGAGCATGTATATTCACGAGGTAAAACCCCCGTTCTCGAACTCGCAAAAAGTTGACGTATCACTTGGCGATAACTGCGGGGGCATCGCCAGTATGGAAAA